ATATATATATATATATATATATATATGTATGTATCATTTGCATCATATATACACACACACACACACACAAATTAATTTATTATACTTGAAATATATAGTAGCAAGCCTGTCAATAAACATTCATTTCGATATCAATATTAAATAGTACCATTAAATGGTACCATTAAAAATATATTAAATAAACCATTAAAAAGTCATTAAAATTTATCCTGGATACATTTTTTAGATATAACTTATATGAAGATTATTTATTCTATAGAATATTTCTGATAAATCATTATTTGTGTCTAATTTCAAAAAATAGAATATTAGCTATATTTTAAAACAGAACTATCTCTTCTAAATTTCATACTATAGAAATATATTATGTTTTTTTTATATTAATCAAATTATATTTGCTCTAATTGCAGTTTTTTTTTAATCTTAAAATACCAATCGAGGATTGTGTCACTATCACTGATTGTGTTCACAAATATCACTTATGCCACTTTACGCGATAAATGAAGAACAAAAAATATCCTGCTTAAGACTGGCAAGAAAAAATAACTCAACTTGAGAGTTAAGATTCCAATTTTCTTCAAAATATCCCCCGATTTTACACAATTGTTCCAGCGCTTTTTTTTATTACCAAAAGTATTTTTTATAGTTATTTTTCGAAATTGTACTAATGGTACTTTGTTACATTAGTCTTAATCTCTTCGATATCTTCAAATTTCGGATCTTTTAATTGTATCTTCAGTTTAACGAACAATTACAAGTGCTTCATTATTTTCCAAATGTGACTTCCTAATACTTCTGGCTGTTTTTCAAACTATAATAAAGGCATATTGAAGAATCGCTGAACAAATATGCAGAACTCGGAAAAAACCTACTTTGAAATTAATTGAAGTTTTAATTTAATCGATTACAATTTCTTTATTTGTTATGTGGATGTGTCAAGTCCATTTCCAACACGTCCACACAACCCGTGTACGACTTTTGACTCTTCTTATGCTTATCTAAGATTAATGAATTTTCTCTCAAAAATAAATTAAATAGTAAAATATAAAAAAGGCAGTGACAAAAAAGATTAAATTGATCTTCAATATTGGCTGGCCAAACTTTACTTACTCCATATTTTATTAAACATTGCAGAAAAAATAATTTAGCACTATTAAACTCAAATATTTTACCATACTTATGGGCCAGGATTTATTTAGAAAATTCTCCTCATAGGTCATCTCGAACTTTTTTTAATGTATTGTGTAGAACAGACTTAGTTTGTTTACGCAGATAAAGAGGAAAAAAAAACTGTCACTATACACACATGTAACGCTGATCTTATGAGAAATCGATACGTGTGTGTAATGTGATCTTAATAGCGAAAGTGTTAGTAAGAAATAATACTGTGTAATTAATACGTTCGAATTTATATTAACATTTTGCATACACAAAGGGTCGTATAAATTATAAGCAATATTCTTGAGAACTGTCAAAAAAATCCACAATTTCTTTTTTAGTTTCTATCGATGGGTCTTCACATATAAGTGAATGATCAATCCTGGGATTTTCACAAGGGGTAAGGTGCATGCACACAGAGAAAAATATATACCTTCTCTATTTATTGAACTTTCTGTAATTAAATTTTTAATTTGCTTATATACATAAGTCTTATGTGGATTAATTAATTATATGTTTACTAGGTATATCAGGATATTTATCACTCTTTTTCCGGAGACTACAAAGCTTCCAATGATGTTTTCGTCAGGTCTTAATTGTAATCTCTCTTTCCCAAGTTGTTTGGGTTATCCACAGGATAGTGAAGAATTAATTCCAAAAATGGCACGTGAGCCAATCATCTTAAATGTTTATGATATGGTAAGTCACTGTTTCTCTCTCTCAGGCATATAATAAATAAAATAAAAAATTTTTTAAGAATAATTTATTGCATTATTGATACTATTAATATTAATTAGTAATTTTAGGTTTTTTAATTAATATATTCTGTAGGAGCAACATTTATTTATTATTTTCATTATTAATATTTATGAATGGCACTATTTTCTATTTTATTTGATGAAATTTAATTGAGTAAATATTATGTTACATAGTAATTATTAATATTTATAAATGGCTTAACTATTTTGTATTTTATTTGATGAAATTTAATTGAATAAATATTATGTTACATAGTATTGGATAAATGAATATACAACACCTATTGGTCTTGGTGTATTTCATTCAGGAGTGGAAATTTACGGAACAGGTATTTATATTTAAGATAGAATATAGCACGATGATTATATTATAGAAAAATATGCGTTTATAATAATTTATAATATATTTCTAGTTATAATATATTTCTATTATAGAATACGCATATGGTGGTCATGCTCAGCCTAGAAGTGGTATTTTTGAAATCACACCAAGAGTAGCCGAAGAATTAGGTGAACAGTTTAGATACAGGTAAAATTTATATTTTTTCTCATTATACCTTTTTTTAAATATTTATTAACATATTTATATATAGATAATTAGTATAATTTAATTCTTTATTTTATAGACAGTCTGTTCACATTGGATATACAGATTTCACGGAAGAAGATGTTTCTAGAATTATTACAGAGTTAGGCAAAGATTTTAGGGGAGACCGTTATCACCTCATGAATAAAAACTGTAACCATTTCAGCAGTCAATTCACACTGGTATATTTTTTTTTCTAAAAATATCAATGTCTATATTGTATTTTTAAGCCGATAATAAAAATTAACACTTTTCAGATTTTATGTGGACAGGAAATACCTGGTTGGGTAAATCGTCTGGCATATTTCAGTTCATGTGTGCCATTTCTTCAACGTTGTTTACCAAAAGAATGGTTAACACCCGATGCTCTGCAACACTCTTTAAGTCAGATTAGTCATCACGAAAGTACACCACCATCGGATACTTCATTGTAACATTTGCCTAACACTATTGATATGCACGGTCTAAAACACCGTAGGAGTTATACGTTGTAGGTAATTAAAACATGATGAAACAATGTTAATTAGGACTGATTATATTGTCAAGATGTAAAAATTTGGGAAACTGAACCGTCAACACAAGGTACAAATTTAATATTGTACACTTGAATGCGACTGCTAATAATTAGTACCGAAAAGATTGCCTTTACTGCAACACATCGTTTCCTAATATTTAGATTGCGATCTACGAATGTCGCATGTGTTCTTTGTTGAGTAATACAGTCACAAGATATGATAGTTATATAATGAATAAATAATTATCTATAAATTTAAATCACACAAAGAACAGGAAACTCGCTGACTAATGAGAAAAAGAATTTTATGTTCGGAAATTATTAATTTAAATCAAATTTCTAAAAGAATCTTTACAGACATACACACAGAAATGTCACGGCACGCACATTCTGAGTAACGATAAACAAAACACTTAAATACCTAGGATGATTGTAAAGATGTGAAAAATTTTTTAGGAAAAAAATTACAATTCAAAGAAGCATATATATATATATATATATATAATAGGACAAAAATTCTAAGATTATTTTTATCCTTGAAACGTTAAAATTACCTTAATTCGTTTAAATATGATCAAAACGATTTTTAACAGTCTATTCTTTCCATTCTTTTACATCATGTAAGCTTTTTCTTAACCCTTAGGCATCCAATGTAAATTTATATACGTTGTTACCTAAATGAGACCTAACAAATTTCAACAACTTTATGAAAAATTACTTAAAATGACTTACAGAATTATATTGATTAATAATCTGCCATTGAGAGAGACAATTTGATATTTACTTATAATAGTTTATCAATGATATTTATATACAGCAATGGAAATATTTAAGTATTCCTGTTCTCACACATCTCGTACAGATTGTGGCGAAAATCGTGATACATAATAATGAAGGTGAATCTTCATACGTTAAAATAAGTCGAAAATATAGAATAAATTTTTTTTACGTACGAGGCTTTGTTATCAAGAAAGATGATTTTAAAATTTGATCCAGTACACATTCTCATTTGTATCTATGGCATGGTTCAACAAATTTTGATTCCAGATTAAAATTTGTATGTATTGCATTTATATACGTATACAAGTTTATAGGATGAAATATGTTTTG